ACCCTACCCACTCTGACGGCCTGCTCTGCGGATTCAAAGTTGCTTAGTAACCCCCACAGTGGTGTAAACCAATTCCCTGAAATCAATCTTTCTAACATTTATCTTTCACTAGCTTGCGTCTCTGGTTGAACTGGTTGAACAACTACACATAGAAGATTTGCCAGAAGTAAGTGGCTCCTTCCTGTTTTCTTTGGCAACAACAGCTTCTCCAAAGCCCCCACCAACATAGGACTTACATTTCAAGCCCCCTCCTTCCTTATCTACTCTTCTTTCACTGTAGCATGTTTGTCTCAGGTCCTGAAAGTTCCCTGGATACATCCTGGCATCTCTGGACTTACTATGTTTGACCTGATTCTGCCCTGAATGACCTTTAAATTCCTAAGACTCCCATATATAAAAACATCCTGCAGGGTTCGAACAAAGGTCAGCTCCCAAAGAGAATTTCTGGGTAGCAGAAACGACTATAAAAATGGTCCATCTAGGGACTTCCTTGCTGGCTCAGTGGTAAAGAAGCCACCTGCCAATTCAGGAGACAAAAGTTCGATTGCTTACCTGGGAAGATCCCACTTGTCGTGGAGCAGCTAAGCCTCTGCACCACATCTGCTGAGCCTGTGCTCTGGAGCCCAGGAGCTGCAACTACTAAAGCCTGAGTGCCCTATAGCCCGTGGTGCACAACAAGAGAAGTCACAGCAATGAGAAGCCCACACACTGCGGCCGGCAACTAGAGAACCCCGCTCACTGACACTAGAAAAAAGCCCACACAGCAACGAAGACCCAGCACAGCCAAATAAATAAACTAAAAAAATTTTAATTAAAAACATGATCCATGAATGGTATTTTTTTTTTTAAATATGAAGGTCAGAGAAGCACAGAAATGCTGAGGAATTTTTATAGATTCAAGGAGACTAAAGAGACATGATAACTAAATACAGTATAAAATTCTAGACTAGATCTTGTATTGGAGGAAGAATGCACTAAGGATATTAGTGGCTAAACTGACACAATTGAAATAGGTAGTAGATTAAATTTAATGGTACATTTCAAATTACTAATGTTTATAACTATGCCGGGGATAGGAAACAGAATTTCCTTATTCTTAGGAAATATTCACTGAAATATTTAGGTGTAACGAATAACTTAAACTTACCCAAATAGGCAAAAGAGTGATATGTATAAGTATAGACAGAAAAAATAGAACAAAATGCTATAACTAGGTGAATCTGGGCCATAGGAATAGCAGCACTCCTACTATTCTTGCAGCTTTTCTCTAAATTTCTTAGTTTTTTTCCAAAATGAAAAGCTTTTTTTTAAAAATAATGGCCAATGCCTCGGTTCCCCTGAATTTTATCTCTCCTTTGGTACTCTGACTTCAGTCTCATAGCCCCCAGAAATGTGCTATTACAAGGGTCTCAGTGAAGAGCAGAGGGAAACATTTATGCAACTGAGGTTCTATACAGAATATAGAAAAAGAACACACGGGAAAATGAAATAGAAAGCATAATATATACCAAAATACAGAATTAATATAGAAATAGAAAAAATTACATTTACAACAGTTTCAGATGCTAAGAATCAGAGTGAAGAATTTAAAGTCAGTAAAACCAGAGTTCTAGTCAATACCAGCCAGGTGACTTGGAGCAGGACATTTTACCTCTTTGTTCTTAGTGTCCTTATCTGGCACTGGGAGATATATTCTCAGTGCACGTAGGAGAAAAAGTGCTAGCAAAATTGCTGCTGGCCAAAATTTTGACTTTCTCTGCGCACTGAAGCCGAATAAAAACTACAGAGACAGAGTTCAGAGGAAATAGAAAGGTGGCTTTAATTTTCAGCAAGCAGAGAGGGGAACACAGTAGGTTCACGCCTCAAAAACTGTGCCCCCCGCCCCCATGAGAGGTCTAAGGGCTTATATAAGATGAGGAACAAAGTGTTAGGATCTTGATTTCTTCCTTTTGCACTGTTTCAAAGATAGTCATAGGCTGGCATCAGTAACCCAGTAATTGAGTCTGGCAGTTCGGTGGCCCTGAGGCCTTCTTTCTGATATGTAACTACAAGGGGAAGCGTGATGTAAGGGTAAACTCCAGATCCAGGATGTATTCAGTGTACAGTCAAAAGAAAATAGGTGTGAATTATAGCTCCTGCAGGGTTAGGGGGCAGAAAAGCAAACTTAGTTACAGACATGCAGAGTTAGGAGCAGTGCTGGTGGCTCAGTGATAAAGAGTCTGCCTGCAACTCAGGAGACACAAAAGACACGAGTTTGATTCCTGGGTCAGGAAGATCCCCTGCAGAAGGAAAGGGCAAACCACTCCAGTATTCTTGCCTGGGAAATCGCATGGACAGAGAAGTCTGGCGGGCTGTAGTCCACGGGGTCACAAAGAGTCAGACACGACTGAGCCACGAGCAAAGCAAAAAGAACTAGGAGTGTTCAGGCCTGCTCACTGCTCTCTTTATCTTCTTCTCAGGAAAGGGAAAGAAAAAAATTCATTCCTCTTTTTTCCCTTTTCACCGCAATAATAATAATAAGATTCCTGAAAATGAAAGGTAAGGAGGGAAAAAACTAGATACCAAATAATCTCCACCCCAAGATCTTAGTAATGTCATCAGTATTATCTGCAGTCTGAAAAGCTTTCAGGTCTCCAAGAATTTCTAGCTTTAAAAGGGTAAGGAAGTGAATGGGGAAGGAAAAGGGCCATATTTCCTAAGGCTCCTCTCAGAACTTTGTACATTATATGTGGACTCACTTAGTATTTAGGACCTCATGGCACTCTCCCATGCTGCTGGTGGAAATGTAGATGTTAAAACTTCAGGTGTTTTGACAATACTTACTCAAATAAAAAGTGTATATGTGCACAAAAAAATCTGTATGGGGAATGTTCACAGCAGTATTGTCCTAAAAGCAAATTCATGGACATGAAACGTCCACCAAAGTGATCAGTTGAATAAACTACTATACAATACATCTATATTAAAGACTATATCCATTAAAAGAATGAGACATGCATATACTTATGATTTCTTATATGTGTTTACAATAGAAAGCAAGTTATGTAAGGAATGCTACCATTTACCTGCAGAAGGAAAGGGCAAACCACTCCAGTATTCTTGCCTGGGAAATCGCATGGACAGAGAAGTCTGGCGGGCTGTAGTCCACGGGGTCACAAAGAGTCAGACACGACTGAGCCACGAGCAAAGCAAAAAGAACTAGGAGTGTTCAGGCCTGCTCACTGCTCTCTTTATCTTCTTCTCAGGAAAGGGAAAGAAAAAAATTCATTCCTCTTTTTTCCCTTTTCACCGCAATAATAATAATAAGATTCCTGAAAATGAAAGGTAAGGAGGGAAAAAACTAGATACCAAATAATCTCCACCCCAAGATCTTAGTAATGTCATCAGTATTATCTGCAGTCTGAAAAGCTTTCAGGTCTCCAAGAATTTCTAGCTTTAAAAGGGTAAGGAAGTGAATGGGGAAGGAAAAGGGCCATATTTCCTAAGGCTCCTCTCAGAACTTTGTACATTATATGTGGACTCACTTAGTATTTAGGACCTCATGGCACTCTCCCATGCTGCTGGTGGAAATGTAGATGTTAAAACTTCAGGTGTTTTGACAATACTTACTCAAATAAAAAGTGTATATGTGCACAAAGAAATCTGTATGGGGAATGTTCACAGCAGTATTGTCCTAAAAGCAAATTCATGGACATGAAACGTCCACCAAAGTGATCAGTTGAATAAACTATTATATAATACATCTATATTAAAGACTATATCCATTAAAAGAATGAGACATGCATATACTTATGATTTCTTATATGTGTTTACAATAGAAAGCAAGTTATGTAAGGAATGCTACCATTTCGGGGGGTTGGGAGAGGGTAGGTTAATTTACACTTAAACTATTGTATGGATCACAACAAACTGTTGAAAATTCTTAAAGAGATGGCAATACCAGACTACCTTGCCTGCCTCCTGAGAAATGTGTATGCAGCTCAAGAAGCAACAGTTAGAAGCAGACATGGGAACAACGGACTGGCTCAAAATTGGGAAGGGAGTACATTAAGGCTGTATATTGTCACCCTGAGTATTTAACTGATATGCAGAGTACATCATGCGAAATGCCAGGCAGGATGAATCACAAGCTGGAATCAAGATTGCTGGGAGAAATATCAATACCTCAGATACATAGATAATGCCATCCAAATGGCAGAAAGCGAAGAGGAACTAAAGAGCCTCTTGATGAGGGTGAAAGTGGAGAGTGAAAAAGCTGGCTTAAAACTCAACATTCAAAAAACTAAAATCATAGCAGCCAGTCTCATTATTTCATGGCAAATACAATGGGTAAAGTGGAAACAGTGACAGATTTTATTTTCCTGGGCTCCAAAATCCCTGTGGATGGTGACTGCCATGAAATTAAAAGATGTTTGCTCCTTGGAAAAAAAGCTATGACAAACCTAGACAGCACATTAAAAAGCAGAGACAGCACTTTGCTGACAAATATCTGTATAGTCAAAGCTATGATTTTTCCAATAGCCATGTATGGATGTGACAGCTGGGCCATAAAGAAGACTGAATGGTGAAGAATTGATGCTTTCAAACTGTGGTGCTGGATAAGATTCTTGAGAGTCCCTTGGACAGCAAGGAGATCAAACCAGTCAATCATAAAGGAAATCAACCTTGAATAATCTTTGGGAGGACTGACTAATGCTGAAGCTGAAGCTCTAATACTTTGGCCAGCTGATGCAAAGAATTGACTCACTGGAAAAGGCCCTGATGCTGGGAAAGACTGAAGGCAGGAGAAGAAGGGGTGACAGAGGATGAGATGGTTGGATGGTATCACTGACTTGATGGACATGAGTTTGAGCAAGCTCCGGGAGTTGGTGATGGACAGGGAAGACTGGCATGCAAAGAATCAGACGTGACTGAGCGACCAAACAACTGTAACAGAGCAGGATGAGCACAGCTCTTAGCAGGCAGCCATTGCTGTGCCGCATTACTCTGCATCCTGTAACTAGGCAACAGGTCTCGTTCAGCCATTGGTCAGTGCCTCAGTGGGCCCCCCCTCCCCAACAAGAAACCAACTGTCAATGAGTGACCATTAGGGAAGTGATTCAGCCAAGGGTCAGTGTTCATCAGGTGGAGAGTGAGGTAAGATGCAGATTCAGGACTTCTCCTGGACGGTCCAGGGAACAGACTGGGGACTATGTCCTGCAGGGCTCTGGAGCCCTGACTAAGGCCCTCCACTAGCCTTGGCCCAGGTCTTGAGACAGCGGTGAATCTCTCCCCCATCCCTGTCTCTGTGACCTAATAGCAGTGACTGCCTGGGTCGCAGTCTGTGAGACCTGGTCTCTTCCACTTGGGTGGTCTGAGGAGCCTGAGGGCCAGTTTGATTCGGTGCCTGGCTCCCTCAGAGTTGACAGCTTGGCAAAGTGTGGAAACCTGGCCCTGCAGGAACTGCCAACTGAGATCTGCCTCCTCTTGGCCAGGACTGAGACCTTGGAGAGCGAAAGTTGTGCCTTGGGACCTTGTTGCTTCTTGTCAAGACGGAGAATAACATCGTTTGGTAGGAGACTATAGGAACATCATTACCTGATCATGACCTGACTTCAATAGCAAAGGCTCTGGCACCAAGAAGCTTCCAACAACTTACCACGCCCCTCTCCCACCTTTTGCTTTTAAAGGGGCTTGCTGAAAGCTTTTAGTAACTTCGGGGTTCTTGGGGGCATGAGCCACCCAACTCCTTGTATGAACCTATAATAAACCTTTCTCTGTTCCAAACTCTTAATGTTTTAGTATTGATTGGCCTCCCTCAGCCATTGCATACATGGACTTGTGATTTGGTACCAAAACCACCTTTGGAAGGCCACACAAGAAATTTTACACTATTATTTTGTAAGGGGAATTTGGGTACATCAGAGAGAAGTATTCTCATCCACTTTATTCCCTTTCATTTTTTCTACGTTTATTATCAAATGCATGTGTTACCTTTTTAAAAAGTCTTGTTTTCATGCAAATTTTCAGCCAACTTTTCATCACTGAAACACAGCCCCCCGCTCACTGGCCCTTCTCAAGCGACTTGTCTGGCGCTAGCAGCTCACCACCCCTTTCAGTTCTGTTCAGTTCAGTCACTCAGTCGTGTCTGACTCTTTGCGATCCCATGAACGGCAGCATGCCAGGCCACCCTGTCCATCACCAACAACCGGAGTCCACCCAAACCCATGTCCTTTAAGTCGATGATGCCAATCCAACCATCTCATCCTCTGTGTTCCCCTTCTCCTGCCCTCAATCTTTCCCAGCATCAGGGTCTTTTCCAATGAGTCAGTTCTTCCCATCAGGTGGCCACCCCTTTCTTCAGAAAATGCTGGACATGTGGTTTGAGGTATGGGTGTGAGGTGTGGGGACCAGTCCAAGGGGCATGAAAAGGCATTTACTCTTCACTCTGTGTATTTTATATATTTTTGCATATATAATAATGCGCATATAGAACAGCCTTCTGAACACAAGGAATTTGTCTGAAAATCATCCCCAACCGCCTTCGGCAACTCTCACCCTTGCTTCAGCCTCCTTTCCCTTTCTCCTCTCCGCCTCCCCAAAGAAGTGAAAGCGAGAGTCGCTCAGTAGTGTCCCATGGACTATACGGTCCATGGAATTCTCCAGGCCAGAATACTGGAGTGGGTAGCCGGTTCCTCCTCCAAGAGACCTTCCCAACACAGGAATCAAACCGAGGTCTCCTGCATTAGCAGGACGATTCTTCACCAATTGAGCCACCAGGGAAACCCCAAACCTCTAGCCTATTTCCCCAGGGAAGTTCACCAGCTCCTCCTTCTGCAGTAGGAAGTACAGAGCCTTCCGCTCTAAGTGAGTGGGCTGAAAGGTGGGAGTAATCCCAGAAAAGAAGGACGGCGAACTGATGTTTAGCAGAAATGAGTTATTTAAGGGCTACAAATATATCTACCAAACAGGAGGTAAGGAGAAAATAAGGGCCCTAAAGACCTCCTAACCGTTAATAGTGAAGGAAATTCCAAGAGGAACCTTGACAACTGGAAAAGGTAACGGCGGGAGCGCGTTGCATGCTGGGACTTGTAGTCTCTTCCGGTTGTGGTCCACAGTGCGGGTGCGCGGAAGCGCGGGTGGTCTCTCCCGCGCATGCGTGCGGCGGCGGCGGCAGGGCTGATTGCAGCTGAGAAGAATATTACCGAGCCGGCGTCCGGGAGTTCGGCATGGCGATTCCCCCGGCGTCCATGGGACCCTCAGCGCTGGGCCAGAGCGGTCCCGGCTCGATGGCTCCCTGGTGCTCAGTGTCAAGCGGCCCGACTCGCTACGTGCTCGGGATGCAGGAGCTGTTCCGCGGCCATAGTAAGACGCGCGAGTTCCCGGCTCACAGCGCCAAGGTGCACTCCGTGGCCTGGAGCTGCGACGGGCGTCGCCTGGCCTCAGGGTCCTTCGACAAGACGGCCAGCGTCTTCTTGCTGGAGAAGGACCGGTTGGTGAGCCGCTGGGACCCGGCCCAGGCTAGGGAGAGAGGGGGTGTGGTAAGGCGAGGTTGAAGAATGGGCGTGAGGAGAGTGGAGCTGAGGAGAAGGGAGGAGGAAGAAGGGGTGTGGAGGTGAGGGGCGTGTGTGATGCGCGAAAGAGGAGTGTGGGGGGTGAGGAGCGGGGAACGGACTGAGGAGAGGTGAGGATGGGCGTGGTGGAGGGGAGGACTGGTGGTTGGGGGAGGGGTGACGATGTGTAGGGAGTGTGATAGTAAGGTGGCGTGAAGATGAGCGGGGGCGGGATGGGGGGCGAAGGTGAGTGTGGAGAGTAAAGGCCGGTGGTGAGGATGGCGGGGAGACTTGTGTGGTGGTGAGGAGCGGCTGGGACAGTGGTGGTGGGCTCCTGTGGTGATGAGGAGGGTCATTCTGAAAATGGCAGGACCTCCGTGGAATTGAGTAAGCGGGTTGGGACCCTTGGTGGAAGAGTAAGGGTAGAAAACCAGAAAGGAGGGAGGGCTAAAGAGTAAGGGCATTGGTGTGGACCCCGTCCAAAGAACTGTTCACACTGATTGGGGAGGAAGGGAGGGTAGGGTTTTGGGAAGGGTTTAAGGGAAGTGACTTAGAAGGACTGGATTCTTTACTCATCCAAACTTCTGTTGGTCGCCAGATACCTCATTTTGAATAAGGTTAAGAAGTTACATGGGTAGGCAGGTACATATGGGTGAAATGGTATCTGGATTTTGCTCTTTCAGGTCAAAGAAAACAATTATCGGGGACATGGGGATAGTGTGGACCAGCTCTGTTGGCATCCAAGTAACCCTGATCTCTTTGTTACTGCGTCTGGAGACAAAACCATTCGCATCTGGGATGTGAGGACTACGAAATGCATTGCCACTGTGAACACTAAAGGTAACTGTTCAGAGGGCAGTAGGAAGATAAGCCACTGCTAGTCATTTTAAGTATCTTCTCTGTGCCTGGCCCTGTAGGTATGGGACGTCCTGAGCTGAATAAGACAGTCGCCAGTTCCAAGGACCTAAGAGTTTAGTGCAGGGAGAGACATGTGTATTGAAAAAACTAACATAATATAACATGGTCATCCTGTAATGGATAGGTCTACAAGGTGGATACTGAGAATGGAAACACTTAAGTATGCCTGGGGAAGATAGGGAAGGCTTCACAGAATTTGAGCAAAGTCTTAAGGTAGCCATATACATTTAGTGGTCACCTTGTAGTGGGTAGGCAGCTCTAGCAGGGAGCTGCCTATAGGCTAGAATGACTGATCTTGGAATAAATGACTTTGACACTTGGGGAGAAAATGACCTGGAAGTTGTATAGTACATTTATAGACTGTTCTTCACCAGATATTGCCTTATAAACCTTGAGGCCATTTATTAAATTATATTGGCTATGATGTTATTGATTATAAGATGCATCAATATTTTATGTTTCATTAGGAAAGAAAGTTTTATTAGATAATCATGATACACCAAAAATTTTGAAATACATCCTGATGCATTCTAAGATACATTACAGGTAATAAAGTGTGAAAAAATATGCATCTTAGAATCAATAAAGTTGATGAAATTTGTGGGCTACTGGACTTTGTTGGCAAGACTTGTACCTGGAGGTGGAGTGATATGTTTTCCCCAACTAGACAACTGGTGATATGTGAGTGATTTAAATATGCAGATGAACATTAAAAGCTGATTGTATATATATTTTAATGCTTACTAGAAAAAAAGATCTAGCTTATAGAATTTATTGCTGAAGTGAAGCTATTTAAATAAAAATTTGGAGGGGTCAGTTTTAATAAAAGTGTTGAAGGAAGAAGTATAGCTATTACATGGATAGTTCAAAAATTGTGAAAATGGCATGTGAATGACTGGAGTTTGGGAAGTGCAGGCATAAGAGAGAATTAGAGGCTCTGATGACAAGTATGCATTTAGATCTTGGCTCTGTTACTTCATAGCTTGGATACTTTGGCCCATCTCTCTTTCAGTTTTTCATCTGTAAAATGGGGAGGAAAAATGTCCCTTAGAGACATGTGAGCGCTAAAGAGGGAAATGTGTAGATGAGTGTGCTGGACTTCTGGTTGGTCCTACTGCTGAGGACCTTAGTGAATGAACTCTAGTGATAGCTCTAGTCTTTCTTTGATAACAAGATAAACTGCTGGAGGATTGTGGGCTAACAGTATTTTGCTGATCATATCTGGGTTCCCAGGGGAGAACATTAATATCTGCTGGAGTCCTGACGGGCAGACCATCGCTGTAGGCAACAAGGATGATGTGGTGACGTTCATTGATGCCAAGACACACCGCTCCAAAGCAGAGGAGCAGTTCAAGTTTGAGGTCAATGAAATCTCCTGGAACAATGACAATAACATGTTCTTCCTGACAAATGGCAACGGTTGTATCAACATACTCAGGTGAGGGGGTTCTAAGTTTAGGGGACTGTCATATCTTTGCACTGGGTGCTGTAGTGGATCCTGAGATGAATTAGATGTGAGTCTATCCTGAAGGAGCCAGAAGGACAAACAATTGACTGTTGAACAACATGGATTTAAACTACCCAGGTCCCCTTACATGTGGGTTTTTTCAGTAGTAAATATTATAGTACCACATGATCTGAGATGGTTGAATCTGGGATGTAAAGCCGCAGATACAGAGGAACCGTAAATACAGTGGACCAGTTGTAAGTTATACATGAATTTTTGATTGTGTTTGTTCAACCCCTGTCAGATCAACCCCTGACTTTATTCAAAGATTGACTGTAGTAATAAGGAATTCTAACCTCTCTTGAGCACCTTCGAGCTAGGTACCTTGTATTTTACTGAGTCTAGAGAGAAATCCTAGGGAGTTGATGATGGTGTGCTTCCCATTTCATAGATGAGGATCAGGGATCTCAGAGAGGTTAAGTGATAGTTAGCTAGTGAGCACTTGAACTGGATGTACCTTGAAGTATAGCTAATTCGTACCTTCACAGTCTCAGTTTAAATATCACTTTCCCTCCAGAGAAGCCCTCTTCATCCCTAAGTTAGAAGCTTATTTTATGTACTTCTGTTTGAAGCATTTCTCATTCTACATTATAAATGCATGTTTATTTCCGTGTCTTCTATAAGACTAAATTCTGTGAATTAGGGGCTGTATTTAACTTGTTTACTGTTGAATCTCTAGTGCATAGCCCAGTACCTGTTACACACAGTCAGGATCTTAGTGAATATTCTCTAGATGAATGAAGTTGTGGAATTGAAGTTGAGGACTATCTGATTCTGTTCTTTCTGCTATCTTGGGTGGACACTGCAAG